GCGGCGGCGGCGGCGGCGGCTCCCTCCTCCTCCTCCTCGTTCCCACAACGTGCTCTCTCGACCTGGGGATTCCCCCCACCCCAAAGCAACACCGGCGGTTCAGGGGGGTCCCCGTCCCGACCTGCACACGCTGGGCCAAGCACCTCTTTCCCCTCCCACCCCCGCGAAGCCAACCGGGAAGAGAAAAGAGGGCAGATCTTTGATCATTTATCGCCTTTCCTGTCTGGCTGCTTTGGGGACTCGCCCCCCCGCTCCCGTTTGATGTTGAATGAGGGATCCCCTCCAGCTGAGAGGTGGTTTGCTGAGCTGCGTCCTGTCAGGACGCGGAAGAGAGGAGAGGAGAGCCTTTTGCAGGCTTCCCCGGTCGGTCTGTTAAGGAGATTGACCCTCCTGGGACAGAGGTACCACCTTCTCCTACCTGATTTGCAGTGTGATTGCCCCTCCGGCATGACTGATAATTAATGAGACTCACCCCTTTTTCCTCCCTTTCTCTTGATCCTTTTTCTGTTTGTTTCTTTTCCGGCTCCACGGAAGTTTTTGATCTACTTCAGCTCTCAACGAGGAAGAGCAGCAGGGAGGAGCTTTCGACTTTTTTCTCCTATATCTTTATTGGCCGATCACCGCCTTTCCAGCCTGTGACACACAGGAAGACAGAGAGCTACATTATTAATTAATAGATGAAGCGCTCATCCTCCATTTTTAAATTAACAACCCAAAAGATCCAGGCCATGTGCCGAGGCTTTTAGAGGCCTAGCCTATGCAGGATTCATTAAACCTGATATCCAGGAAGCAGGTTGGCTTGTTGGTTTCCTGGTAAAATATATTTGGATGCTTAAAATGGCATATGTTGTTTTCTTTTAAAATAAGTATGTTTTTGTTAAAAAAAAAAGTAACAATAGGACTAAGTCCTTAACCTGCTGAGTCACTAGCCTAATCCTGTAGGACTTTTCTCCCTCAGGTTTTTACTCACTGGGTGAGTTAACACATTACACTAACCATAATGTGGGATGTTGGTCTTGGATTAACATGTTGTGTAAATACCTCCAGGTGGTCTGTTCACTCAACCTGTTAAGCAAACCATGCCTTAGTGCAAAGTTTCGTCAAGCTAATTATGACTAAATTCACAATCATTATTTCATAGGAATATTTTAATGCTTCTATGAAAATGCAGCCACAGTCTCCAAAGTCATCCCCCACACATACATCCCAGGTTGTTCTAAAGTTTTTAATATCTTCATAACCCATTTATTTCTACTACTTAGGTGGAAGGATCTAACAGGCGAAGAAGTAGCAGATGCTTCACTGTAAAGATACCTTTAGCATATCTTTAACCAAAATTCTTCTCCATGAAAATTAAAATTGAGCCACTTCTAATAAGGATCTTTTTTTTTATCATACAAAGAACAGCTTTTTAAAACCATGGGAGACATTTTTGTAATTTTTTTCTGCAAGAAATGTGCTATAATTATACATAACCTGTATTGTAAATTTGCATCTAAATAATAACACAGGTACCTAAGCTATTTTATCATTTTATGTGACCGTAACCTGTGTTTTTTAATTTGAAAGATTTTGGCTACTGTTCTAAGCATTTTTACTAGGTTCTAAGTCTGTGTTACTTTTGAAACTCTTAGATCAAGCCTGAAGATCTGATCCAATAAATCAGAATGTTTGTTTAAAATGTTTCATGTTATTAGCTTTTTCCAGGTAGTAGGATTTTCTGTGGAAATTGGTTGTTTCTTTAAAAACTTTTTTAGATTTTTTATTTAGAATTAAGTATAAATTTGATAATTAAAATGTATTATTACTATAATATTTGTACTGATGCAGGTAGGCACTACTACTCTCAGAGTAGCATCAGTGTCCCAAAACATTTTTTCACTATTTGCAAAAATTATTCTTCACTGCCAGGTTCTAGAACTCAGAACTGATTCCTCTTCTGATGTCAAAACTTGTGGTAAGTTCCACAACATAGTTTATAAAAAGACTGATTGGTCATTAGGCCATGAAAGAAACACCTGTTTTTCAGTTTGTAATAGAAACCTATCTGAGAATATAGGAAAAAAAGAAAGCTATCTTTGCAACTTGGAACAATAGCGTGGCCCATTACAGAATGTTCCCTTTAGCAATTTAAAACTAGTTAATTAATTAGATAACACACTGCATCACCATAAAAAAGGCTGTCATTTCAGTGGGTTTTAAGTAAATGAGCTGCTAGTCATAACACAATCACAACCCTTTGGGTCTTGATTTATTATCTTGCTAATTCTATTAATTAGCAGTTGACTGCACCCAGCTTGATTGGATCTTGTTTGAGACAGCAATAATAATTCATTGTTTAGCTTGATACCTACAAACTTACTTCTCTCCACTTCATAGGTATGAGGAAGGTAGATTTCAGAATTGCACAATCTTCTTTGTTTTTCCATTGTGGCTCGCTCGGTAAATAATAGTTCTGTTGATAGATCCTGATCTATCTTCCTAACTTAATATCTAAAAATGGAAGGATAAATGAGATAAAATAAGGAGAAAAATATATCAAAATACATTTCTGTTATAAAACAGAATTTTGTTTTTGCTGGAATAGACTAAAATACCTACATACCTCAGACATTAGTACTACAAAATGTCTAAAAGTGTTTTCTTGCATGGAGTTAGAGAGATGGCCAAATAGATTTCTTTGGGAAGAGTAATTCAGGGTATAGCTATAGTAAGAAGTGTGGATTATAGTATGGAAACTATTTCCCCTGATAAGTAACTGACACCGTTGCATTAGGTATCTATATTTTGAGACCTCATAGTTGAGTTTATTTTGGATCTGAGTATTATGAGATTCTCCCATAAAGTTTGTTTTGCCTTGATCTTGAGGCCGCTTTAGATACTTCATCTGAAATTAGCAGATTCTATAAGTCTGTAGCACATGATTGCTAGTGACAAAAAAGGGAAGCCTTCACTTTTGTCCATTTTCCATCCATATGTTAGGTCATTTAGTTCTAAACAGCCCTGTTAAGACCAGACTTTTTCCATTTTTTTTCCTTAGCTGAGGAAATACTACGGTGGTTTCTGGCAACATATTATTGAGCATTTTGCACATATCCTTTGTATATTTCAAGAGCATTTTGAGACATAGGGTGCATGGTTCATTTGTGGGACCTTTTTGTCTTCATTGGCACCTCTCATGAATTAAAAATGTGATCTGTAATTCCCAAAACGTATTTAAGCTTGTGCAGTGGAGGGGAACATCAAGGAGGATAGAGGCTTCTCCTAATTACTGATCTTCTATTTAAAAAGCCTATTAATCTTTCATGGAATACCAGCACTCCCAAGAATATAGTTTGAAAGGTGTTGCTTCACACTAGGTATGACAGGAGTACATAAATGTTTTCAGCTGAGGGTTGCACTTGGCCTTAAAGGGAATGGGGGAAGATTCACTTCAAAAAGTAGTTGACTCTAGAGCAAACCCTCTATTTAATTGTATGAGCTCCTCCTTACTAGGTGAGTTTAAAGAGAAGCTGGATAGCCAATTATCAGAGATGCTGCAACTTGATTTCTGCTATTACCAGGAGGGGTGAGCCTCACAGCTTCAGTGGCTCTTCCACCTTTCTTATTTTTGGCCAATAGCCACATACCTATGGGAAACCAGGACACAAATGTAATAGCACTCTCCTGATATCATTCCCCTGACAGATATCAGATATCATATTAAGCCATAATGTGATTTGCTTGGTTTTGGGCTTATGTGTTGTTGAATCCAGCCTTTATGGTGGCAAACCATGAATTATGACACTTAGGCAAACCCAGCCAGTTTGGTTTATTCAATAAACAATGGTTAAACAAATCAAAGTGTGAACTCTGTTACTGGTATCTTTTGATTGCTTTATTCTCCATGGATTTGTCACTATGAATTAATTGTTAGATATGTTTGTATTAAGAATTAAACCAAGGGACAATTTTCTTTCCATCGCTGGTTTAAAAGCAAAGCACAGTATTTATTGATGGATACTCCACAAATGTTGAGTACCTGCTTCAGCAGAAGCTTACATTTATCCAGAAACAAGAAGTTAATTGGTTTTTTTTCCCCTCAAATAAGGCTGCGATCCAAGACATACACAAAAATTCAACAAAGGTTAAGGCTGCCTTTACAAAAGATCTTTAAAACAAAGATACTGAATGCCATCTAGTGGTAACTGTAATAAAGTTGATAAATACCTCTTGAAGTAGACTTCACCTACCACTTAATTAGATATAACTATATTTTGGGTGTGCTTTGTTTTAGGCAATGGATAATAAAAGTGATATGGATTATTAGTTTCATTTATCAATGTGTTTGTCATTTCCTATTTAAAGAATATACCACAAAAGAGTAATTAAAACCTAATTTTAGCAAACTAGTGTGAAAGATCTATAATCAGAACTCATTTTTATGTAAATAAAACTAGCAGAGGGAGTAGCAGAGGCAACTATTAAGGCCTACCAAGTGGCGGTAAGGGCAACAAAGCGACAGCACTCCTCTGCCCCTATTGCATCCGCAGATTGCCGCCCCGCAGCCCTGTTTCAGGTGATACAGGCCCTCTTGGGTACAGAGGACCTGGATAACCTTTTGCAGGGTCATGCGGAGGAATTTGCTCAGCATCTGCTGGATGAAATCGCTTGGATTCGTTCACAGTTGGACGCTGGCTTTGCTGCAGGTCTGTGGGAGATACCTAGGGTGGAGTCTTACCCGATTATCTGGGAACGGTTTGAACCTGTTAGACTTGAGGAAGTGGAAGTGAAGTCCCTAAGACTGTGAGCTCAGCCACCTGCTCTCTAGATCCATGCGCCTCTTGGTTTATGAAAGCAGCCCTAGGGTGTGTGGGTGAGTTCTGGCGATGGTGAATTCTTTGAATGAGGTGATCATTTCTGCATCTCTTAAGAAGGCTTCGGTTCACTCCCTCCTCAAGAAGCCATCACTGGACCCCATGATACTGGACAATTTTCATCCAATATCCAACCTCCCCTTTTGGGGGAAGGTGATTGAGAGAGTGGTCATGCAGCAGCTTCAGAGGACCTGGGGTGAAGCAGATTATCTGGATCCTTTTCAGTCAGGGTTCAGACCTGGGTATGGTACAGAAATGGCATCAGTCATGCTTTTGGATGATCTCTGGCATTGTATGCCACCCAGAGTCGCCTGTGGTGAGATGGGCAGCTATATAAATTGGTTTAATAAACAAACATACAAACAAACTTGAATTTGGACCACATTTTTAGTCTAGTCCAAGGAAGAAGCAATATGTTGTAAAGTGTGGCAACTGCAGCATTTCCAGTTCTTTAACTATAGGCAATGACAACCCTCAATAAGACAAGCAGATTCTTTTTTTAACGCTTTCATGTTTATTTAACCAAGAGTACATCTTTGATTTCCATATTATTTTCAAAGGCAGTTCTTGACACATAGAGCTCAACGAACGGTAACATTCTTTCTTTCTTTAAAATATCCCTTTTCTGTTTAAAAAGCACTTGATGTGGATGCACATATCTTGTATGTTATAGAATTCTGTACACACATATTTGTTCAAGTGCTTCTCTATCAGCATCTTCTAAGAATTCATCATATTGCACTGGCACTGCTTCTACCCACTGGTTGAGCTGGATGTCCACCTGAAAAGAAACTAAAACAATTCACTACAACACTAAAAATAATGCATAAATCTCAGAACTGTTGAAGGCAAGTAAACAAAATAACATCTAAATTAAATGTTTTTGTGAAATGAGACTAACATAGGCAATATCTACATAGCAGGTGTAAACATGCTTCTATATCTTACAATCACGCTGTTTCTGTATAAGCAAATCAGTTAAAAGGAAGGGGCAGAAAATACAAGTGAGATTTGCCACAAAATTTGGCAACACATCCTAGCCATACAGAATAAGAATTTTTTAATGCTGGTTGTAGCTTTCTGGGGTGGAGAAGTTGCAGGAAGAAGATTTTAGAAAGTTTTAGAAATGTACTTCTCCCCAATCCTGATATGATAATTCCCCTTATTTCCTACCAGTTAAAGCCTGAGATTTCTGGAGAGCGGAAAAAGATTGTTCCTTTCATTTTTCTCCCTCCTGGAATTTTCTAGCAAGTTGTAGATATGTGCAAAAGCCTAAATCAAATGGCCGCAATCACAAAGCCATCTCCCATGATATGCTGATGCTGACCTCAATCTCTTTATAACGTCATTATAATGAAGTTACCTCCAAAAGATAGACCAGTGTGAAAATGTTTATCAGTGAAACAGAACATTATTCAGCAAGTATAATAAATTCATGTTTTACCTAAAACTCACATACCAAGGACAGTCTTGTCATGTAAATAGTTTGAAAAACAGCTCTTTACCTGAAGGTCTGAGAGGGATTTTTCAAGGCTTGGGACAGTCACTAATAAGGACCCTGTTTTTCTTACATTTTGACTGATGATTTTCCATGATCTAGGAATAAAAAAAAAGTAAATTTCTTACAAAGCAGCTCCTCCAAAAATTCCTATCATACGAAACAATGCAAGATATTACAAAACAATGGCTCTTGGCCTTTAGTTTTGGGCAACCCTCCCTGAGCTGCATGAAAAGGGAAAGATTCATACATGCAGTATGGGAAAACTAATTTGGCCTGCTAGAATATCACAGCCTATTGGAAACTATGGGCTCACGTTGGATCTTGTACTGGATATCTATTTTCCTTACACATCTACAGATTTACTTTGTAGTATGAAATTATGATAAACAGTTTATTGTACTAGATAAAGGGGACTCTGGTTGGCGAAGATATGGGATTCTATCCAGCAATGCCATTCCACTGATGGGGCAGCATTTGACAATACAACACTTTCTTCCTCCTTTCTCCATATACAGTATTGTAGATCTGCTCTGAAGGAATAGGGGATCTTTGGTGGCACTGCATCATGTCTGGGAATGATAACAGAGAAGTAGATACAGCTCACGTAATGTCAGATGTAGCCCATTGTTTTACAGAACATTTGGAATAACCTTTAAAGATTTTATCCAGAACTGTATTTCATAGTACAATCTGGGCTACAATGGGAGAAGTCACATTTGTTGTCAGCTACAGTTTTATCTGATCCCTAACCTAGCATTTCATCTACAAAGTCAGACCTAGGGATATGAAAAACTGGAACAATAATTCAGAGAAAAAAACTTTTAATCTGTATTTTTCTCTTGACATATGTGATGGCTTTGAAAAATATAAGTAAAACAAAACATAGTAATTTTCTTGTGTTTTCACATCTCTAATTTGACTACAACATTTTAAAAAATCTAGTTTTAATGGATTTATTTTTTAAAAAATCAACCCTTCAGAGCTATAAAAATGTTGCTTGTATAATGCTTCCTTCTCTTTATTTAAAAAAAAGGTGAGGATCATCTACCTAATGATGATACTTAAAATGGATCCTGGCTTGGGACTCTTTTTTTAAACTATATCAGCAACTTAGTTCAGAAATTTTCAATAAAAGAAGAATAGTAGCTTTCCCCAACCTTTCAGGTGTATTAGGATCTTCTCTCCAAGAATTCCTGCCTAATATGGTTGATGCTGATTGGAGTATATCACATTGGTTAATTTAGCTTTTTCCCATATTATTCATTTCCTTTGTTACAACTATTCAAGTGACCAAGCACACTGATAAACTGTCCTATTTTAATCTGTTGTCCTTTTCTTCTTTTCTGTTTGGTATCTTTTAAAGATTTATTTCTGTATATTAAAGCAAATAAAATAAATCAAGTACAATGAACCAGAAGGTAACCTTACACAAATTATGGTACAACCAACCATAGCATGAAAATCATGTTTCACATTCTTGAGGTCCATCAAGTGTGAAAATGATTTTAAAATGTATTTAAAAAGGCAAGGCTATCTTTGGCAGATTTTTCATTTTGCCCAAACAATAGGAATTGGATTTGGCATCAGTGTCCTTAAGTGTCCAGTTTTTGCCTTAGCAAGGGGGAAATTTCAGGTTTCAAATGCTTTTTTAATCAGCTGTCTTAAATTTGAATAATGTTTTTGCATCCAATAAAACATGAAATAATATATCTCAGTTTTCATAATTTATATTTTTATAAATTATCTTGGGTTTTAAAGAACAACATATGCGTAGTTGGTTGGATTGCAAACAGTGTTCCTAGTTTCTAGAGATTTCTAGAACTTACCTAGCCTGTTCTGATCTGTCAAGGAAATATTCAAAGACATTATTCATTATAATAATGTCTGCATTTTGAAGAAGTGAAGCTTGAGTACAAATGTCTGCATTAATCACCTGAAAGGGAAATAATTTTGCAGAAGTTCAACACGAAAAACTGTCTGATAATATTTTACATTGTTAAAAAATGTACAGATCATGGAAAACAATCTAGTTTTGTCCCTTCTTTTAGTCTTGCATCAGTACACATGACTCATTGCTTAACCAATCCATTACAAAATAAATTTCCCGATATTGCAGATTGCTATTAATCTCATTATTGTATTGTAAAGAAATTAAAAATTATGTATTAGGCAAGCTGTGAGATACACAGTGCCATAGGTATGAGGTAGAACTGAGGGCAAGCAGAGAAATAAAGTTAGAGATTCCCTCATCTCTTTAACGTATGAGTCTTTTGTCACTAAGTGAAATGGTAAGAGACAGATAAGAGGAAGGATCTCTATATACATAGTCCCTGTGTCTGCCTGTCAGTTGGCCTATGGTTAGTAAAACGAGTCTGTGAATTGAAAAGACAAGGGAACTTCCTATCCCCCTCACTCCTCAAGTAACAGGGACCCTATGTATTTATTAAATCTGCATTTTTACTTCAAATTTAATTAGTATCTCTTAGCATTCATTAATAGCTGAACTAAACCTGTACTCTGCATCCAAGACAATCATATTATGATCATTGTTTAAAATGGGACCTACTGCTATTTCATTACTTGATATTCTTTTAGCACTCTGCATATGCTCAAAAGTGCTTCAGGAATACAACAGTTGTTACTGAACTCAGATCTCCAGCACTGCCTCAACCCAGCACACTCACTTAATGATTGATACCCAGTGACTTATTTGAAGATCAAATGATCAGTAAGGAAGATTATAAGATTAAAGTTATTGCAAAATATCAAAATCTGTACTTTTAAATTCATATGAGATGGTACAAAATTGTAGATAAGAATTCAGGTATGAACTGGAAATTTCTCATCTTGGCCATGCACATTAAGGAATTTGCTTACTTCCTTAATGTGCTTCAATTTCTTCTCAATTCCACAGCTGCAACATTGATGTAAAGAATGTACAGTAGTGTGGAAACTTGCTTTCTTGCAGAATTATCAGAGGGATAGTAAGCTAACACATGGGAAGTGCTTGGAACACCTGAAAAAGCTAGAAAAATGCTGAGATTTTCTCTACTATTTGGGAAATGTCTTTACAAAAACTTTGGTAGACAAAAGATTTTGAATGGCTACAATATCTCTTCAATATCACACCTATACAAAGTTTGTTATATTCCTTTTTCTTCCTTTTCACAGTAGAAAGTAATTGTACAGAAATGAAGCTCAGCTGACTTTCAGCCATATTCACTTCAAACTTACTTGAGACATTAAATGTGACTGAGATAATACTGCATCTCCAGTAAAAAGGATATTATGCTAACCTGCAGCCGTTCCATACATAAACCAAGCAATTAAATGTGTTGTTTCACCTTTATTCTGTCATCAAGTTGGTATTTTGTAATGATATCTTCCTGTAACAGGCAAAAGTCTGCGTTCATTTCAACTCCATAGATCTGGGATGCTGAACTATAATAGTAAGCCTAAAATAAAAAGTAGAAAAACTGAGATGTTTCTAAAGTGGATAGGAACACAGAGTTGAACTGTATTAGACATCTGAATGTTGTTTATCTATAGGGGTTTGCTTTCAAAATGATATGCAGACCCTATTACAGAGGACTATGCTAAGCACATGCTCACATGGCAGCCCAGGAAATGCCTAACTTTTGGGGGGGAAGGCTGTACCCAGCTTTTGAATGCTTTGCTGGAGCCACACTCTAAAAAGGTGGTGGGCTCTGGACAGACCCTAAATTTGACTTGGTGTAATTGAATTGACCTTGTAATTTAAATAAAAATAATTAGGCACTATTAAAATGATTATTCATGCATTTAATAATTTTCCTTCTGTCACAATAAACACATATTTATTTTTCAAAATAATTTTCAGCAGAATTAGGCAGAGTTGCTAGGAGTCAGGTGGCATGTAAATTTAATAAATTGTTATTAAAATGTTTGATAGCCTAGTATACAATAAAATATGCAAAGCGCATTTACCAATAGAGGTGAATATGTGTAGCTCAGGGTTGAACTGTGGAGTCCTTGGGGTTCTCTGAGCTTGGTTGTTTTCTTGCAAACATTTCATTACCCGGCTAGGTAACATCTTCAGTGCTAAAATGGGATGGGGTTTGCTCTCTATTTATATACTGTGGCCTGCCTTGCCAGTGCTGCTGGGGGTTTTGTTTTGCTCATCTGGTAGTTTCTGGATTAGCATATGTTACTGCTTGATTTAACATCTTCAGTGCTAAAATGGGATGGGGTTTGCTCTCTATTTATATACTGTGGCCTGCCTTGCCAGTGCTGCTGGGGGTTTTGTTTTGCTCATCTGGTAGTTTCTGGATTAGCATATGTTACTGCTTGATTGTGTGCCTGGTGGTAACCTTTCCTTATCTGGGTGATGATTGCTGGTGAAGCGATCTTCTGGCCTTTTGTCTCTTGCATCTACATACTATTCAAAAGAGACAAAAGACCAGAAGATTGCCTCACCAGCAATCATCACCCAGATGAGCAAAAGTCACCACCAGGCACACAATCAAGCAGCAACATATGCTAATCCAGGAACTACCAGA